CACCTGCATCTGTATTCCCATTCCCATCATGCTCATCTGCACCCTCAGTCCCATCATGCTGTTGCTGCTGAATCACAACAGTATTATACAACATCAGGACTACCACTGAAAAACCTTGGTTCTTTTGAAGATTATTCCAGTTTCCTGGATGAATGGAAATGTAGAGCAGGACCTCACCAGGATCTCTTAATTCAAGGAGTAGGGAAGACTAACAGACTAGAAGATGTCCAAACTATTTAGTGGTCTAAAAACTATACCAGGACCTTAAAAAACAATGTAGACAGCTCAAAATATGTGCTATATGCTTAGATATACTTACAAAACCCTAAAGAACGTATTACAGTAGTCTGGGTCTGTAAATATAAACAACTTTTTCTTTTTCTTTATTTTTTGGAATTCTATTGTTTGTAAAACAATAGACTCCCATAAAACATAGGTAACAGCTGGAAAACATATTAAGGTCTTGCAATTATTTCCTTTGGCAACATGCAAGGAGCCTGCATGATTAATATTCTCAGAAATGATCCAACATATGCCAATGGGACTGATTAAATGAGGAGTCATGTTTATGCAAGGAATATGACCAGAGAATGTAGAAAATGGTTCCTATTTTTAGCATATATACCCATTATTCGTTTTAGAGAGTCACTTTTCTGAAAGCTTTCTGACAAGTCATAAAGAGTTTTCATTTTTAGAGTAATAAAAGAGAGTATGAGAAGAAAAATATTTGTCTGAAAATCACCACTGCTTCCTAGACAGACAAATGAGAAAAAAAGAATCATTCTAGAGAAATTGTGCCTGGCTCCAATTACTCAAGTCTATGAAAAGTGTACATGAAGCAAAGGAACCAGCCAATTACAACACAGACATTTAAGGTGCTTTCAGAAGTCATGTTTTTTCTACAACATTGGCAGTCAAAAGCTGGGTGGGTAAATGTGCAATCACTTGACCTGCATAAACTGTGGCCGACAAAACTACAACAATGCCCACACTATAGGAAAAGATTTTGACGGGCGAGGTGAAGGCTTGGATTAAAATCTGAAACTCATCACCACTTCTTGATTAACTATCGATAGGTGACATCCATAATTCCCTGTAACAATGGGGAACAATATTCTCCAATCAATGTATTGTCATTCCAAGGGGCATTCTTGGGCAGGGGGAATCTCCTACAATTCCACCTTGGGGGAAAAAAAATGCAGCACTTTGATTTTTAGACTATTGTTCCTTTTGGGGAGGGTTTAATATCATTTAGTCGACTTGAGAGCACACACAGACATACTTATCATATCTACTTATGTATATGATAACCCCATGTATAAGTCAAGGGCAGGTTTTAGGGCCAAAATTATGGATTTAGATATGACTCATGCAAAAGTTGAGAGTCATTCCAAGATAAAAAAAAGCACCAATTCTGCCTTGGGACTAGTCACCCCTGCCATCACTGCTTTTTGCCCACCAAGACTGTCAAAAAGGCTAGAGGTGCCACCATGGTGGAAAGAGTAGAGTAGGGCTGGTGATTTTTTTCAGTTCTCCCCAGATGGACAAAGCTCCTGTCAAACAGCTGTGCTGCTGTGTTTTTTAAAATGTTCCATGCCTTATCCTGGTATTAATTTTGGAATTATTTAATTGTGTTTAACTTTTTGTAGTTTGTGGATTTTTAACAAGGACTTTTAAATTCTTTTTAATTAAAAGCCTCTTTGAATCCCAACCCTGGAAACAGAAGAGACAGAAATAAATATAATGACAACAACAATTTAGAGGCAATGAACTGGAAAGGTATGTGCATAAGAATATCAGGTGCTTCTTAATTAAAAACAAATAAACACGCACATCATACAATCCACAGTTAGAGACAAGAAACATGAGTGAGGTTAGGATATAATAAAACCAAAAGGGAGGTGGTCAAGGACCATTTTAAATTATTGGAGCTTTAAAAGATGAAAACCAACTTTCTGAATTTAGCCTGGAAGCAAACCAGTGAAATTTAAAAGCATTGCCTCGCAGATCTTATGTATGCTTTAGTGTTGGGACATGATCACATCTACTCTACCTATGGATTATGCACCCATACTACACACGTAGGTATATAGCCATTTATTTTACAAATAGAACACAAGGCAAACTACCTGCTTGGCCTTCTTCAATATTTAGATGTTACATGTTCTGTGATTCTTACATGCTTTCAGTGACTTGAGAGGTTTGCTATCCCATAAATGCCCAATTAGATGAGTGTTTAGTTTCAAGCAGTGAACTGAACAAGTGGATAATCAGGATCCTCTGAGTATTCTCAGATAAGTAAATTGATTGTAAAAGAAAAGTGCTGTTTAATGATCCTTTTAAAAGTGACTTAGGTCATGGCTTAAGGGCAAGGGTGTCAAACTCATTTTCACTGACAGCCATGTTAGTCCTATAGTTGCCTTTAAAGAGCCATTTGTAATTGTTAGACTATATAACTATGTTGCTCTGGCATTGATAGCCTCGTGGGCCACATAAAATGATGCGGAAGGCCAAATTCAGCCCACAGGTCTTACTCGTGTGGCTTAGGGAACCTCTCTTGCTATTACTTGCATCATCCCTCATCATGGACCATGCTGACAGGATTCTAAGGAAACATCAACACTCATTCTCCAACCTTGACTTAGTTGGTGGGGCGCATTTCATGAAACAGAATGCGAAAAGCACCAAGTGCACAACTTACCATCACGGGTTACCTCAATGACATAAAGGCCTTCTTCAGAACCAATTGCTATTCGATCCCGATCTAATGGTGAAAAAAGAGGGGGCGGAAAGCTATTAGTACAAGTATGTTCACCAACACTCAGCTTTTATTGTTTTAATGGGAACACTCAATCTGAGTATAAATGTGGGCTGGAAAGAACATATTATACCATAGTACTAGCTTTCAATGCATTTGGAAAGCAAAACAGAAGGAGAGATTATAACATTTAAAACCCTAACAATGCAATACAATGTTGATGTTAATTGCTGTCAAGTCAGTATCAATTTATGGTGACCTTATGAATGACAGACCTCCAGGTCATTTTGTTAGTAGCAGCCTTATTAAGTTCTTGCAAATTCAGGGTTTGAGTCTATCCACCTGCAATGCAGTCATTCTCTTTTTCTTACTGCCATCCGTTATGCCAAGTATTAACATATTTTCTAATGAGTCGTGTTGTCTCATAATATGTTCAAAGTATAACAGTCCCAGTGTAGTCATTATGGTTTCTGTGACAATTAAGGATTGATTTATTCTAGCACACATTTATTTCACTTTTGGGCAGTCTAGAACTCTCCTCCAGAGCCATTATTTCAAATGAGTTGCTTCTGTTCCTATTGATTTTGTTTCTTTATCCACTGTCAGATACTCATACTAAGCCTAAGTATAGAGTGCAGCCTCAAAGATGTACTTAAGGAAGGTCACTGAAGATGGCCCTGCTTCAACATTTTTCTCTGGCTAGCACTGAATTAGAGAAGCAGAATAGACTAGTGAAGTTCTCTTTGAACTTCCATGTAAGAGAGTCTACCAGTCCAATACTGTCTACAGTTCATAAAACAAGTGAAAATCTATTTCTTGTAAATACTCAAAAGAGAGAAGTAGTGGGTTATTTTAACTAGCTTGATAATTTATACTGTTGCAGCTAAATACTCCACAGTTTAATACAGCAGAATGTTTATTATTTTAGAATTGGTTTTATGCGCTGCCATTGTGATAATTTTGGTGTCTGCCTTGAGGGCCATCGTCCATGAGGCAGGATTTAAATATGAACATAAATAATCTCCCCAAATAAGAAAGCCTGTAGGAAAAATATCCACAATTGTATTTTAGGGCTCCGTTAGTGTATAAACTGTTTTCTTTAAGCTATAAAAATGTGGGCAGAGAAATTAGAAAATTAATTCAAGCACTGCATACGCCTACTGCAAGTAGAGTTAATCATAATTAGCTTTAAAAAAAATCAATTAATGAATTTCACAGTACTAAGCTTCTCTGTGCAGATGAGAAATAATACAATAAAAAGGATGGCAGTGCTTTCATTCAATGTGCAGCTCCAACAGTACACACTGAAATGTCTTATTAAAGCACACATACCTATAACAGCAGCAGCTAAGCTGGTTTTAATGAGAGGCAGTGTACTGTCATAGGCTTCCTGTGGAATATGTACAACTTGGTTTTTGAGTTTATTTTTGTGCAGAATAGATTTCAGCCCCTCTAGGATTCCAACCCATTTTCGCTTTTCATTTTCATTTTCTGTTAGGATCAGCAGAGAGCAAGTCTTTGAAGGTGAGCCTAAGAGAGAAGCTGTCACCTTGACAGCAAGAGGGAGGAAAAAGAAAACAGTCAGTGAAATACGACTATATATGGCAAACGTATACTAGTTCTATGATGGTGACACTGTCAACTCTTTTAAAGGTCTTGTGTCTAAAACCTGATTGTAATGAAGCCTGCTACTTATTCTGCCATCTTTTCCAATGCAACGATTCATCAGTTACTTGAGAATACATTTTAATATTTGATCATGTTACTGCATTCCACGCTCTGCTGCTTTCAGTAGGATGCACATTTGGATAGCTGCTGTCAAATAGAATAGGGCAAGGCAGAAGTGTATATTCTTTCTACCCTTACAAACACTTTTGCATCATTTTGAAAATTAATATATAAAATATCTGAGAAGGAGGCTATTTTTCATCAGGACAGAGGAGTCCAAACTGCTCAATTTGTATTATTCAGTTCGGAACAATTGTAGTTGTTATTTGTTGTATATACTTATGTATATACTTGTTATTTGTTGTATATACTTATGTATGGGAGGAAGGTGGTGGGGTCGAGGAGCTGACCATCTCTCCGTTGCCATGGACCGACCACTTCCTGGTCAGNGAGGAGCTGACCATCTCTCTGTTGCCATGGACCGACCACTTCCTGGTCAGATTTAGGCTCACTGCGCCCCCTGACCTCTGCAGAGGTGGAGGATCCATCAAGTTGGTCCGCCCCAGGAGGCTTATGGATCCGGATGGATTCCTGATGGCTCTTGGGGAGTTTCCCGCCGCCTCGGTAGGTGATCCTGTCGAGGCCCTGGTCACTCTCTGGAATGGGGAGATGACTAGGGCAATTGACACGATCGCTCCGGAACGTCCCCTCTCAAGTAGCCGAGCTAAACCAGCTCCCTGGTTCACCGAGGAGCTGGCAGCGATGAAGCGAAGGAAGGGGGAACTAGAGAGTGTGTGGCGTTCGGATCCGAGTGAGCCAAATACTTCCTACACTGCCCCCTTTGGTGGAGTTGAGTTTTGTAAATACATCAACCTCTAATTGGAGAAGCTCATTGGCAAATTGTGACTGTAATAGCTACTGTCTTCAGTGCACGAATTTACATCCTTCTGTGGAACTGCCATTTCCCTCCTTGGACGGTCAAGAGAACTCTAGGGGATCTGGCCAGCGGATGCCGGCTTGTACTTCACGGGTCCAGGAAGCCGGACTCCTTGTGTTTAAATTGACCCCCTTTGATTGGGATGTGGTGTCATATAAGAAGACACTAATATTTGAACTTGGTTAACACTACGTCACTTTAGCCTAGAGCACTTTATTAGATCTACCTCCTAGTCTACCAGGGGCCATGCTATTAACTGGTCCCAAAGCGTCCCATGGTGATTAAATTGTAGTTATAGTAGCACTTTAAACAACTGTTATAGTAGCACTTTAAACAACCTGTTATAGTAGCACTTTAAACAACCTGTTATAGTAGCACTTTAAAGAATTGTTACAGCAGCACTTTAAACAACTGTTTCGAGGCCTGCACTAGCACTTAGCCTCATTTGTAGCAGGTTGACAATTAGATATTGTTGTTTACAAATACCCCACTCCTATGTTACCATTGACACCAATCCTGCTGCTATCGATACTAGTGCACTTTACCTTCTTTAATACACTGGAAGGAGCAGGTAATTTCAAGGGGTGGGAACATCAAGACCAAATTATATGTGACTACACTTATCATCAAACACTAACATATGGAACAACAATAGATGGAAATGGAGGGTATGTTCCCGGGGGGAGTGGGTCCATGGGTGGGGGTGCCGCCATAGGGGTGGTGACGGGCAGAGGGAGATATGGGAAAGGGAGAGCAAATTGTTTATTCTGGCCCAAAATTCACAATAATAGATTGGCAACCTCCAAAGATGCT